CCTTTTGATTGTGAGCCGCCCTGAGTCCCCCCAGGGAAAAGGGCGGCATACAAATAAACACAAATTCACAAAATTCACAAATTTGCCCCCATATTTATTCATGCTACTTAGTTATACGTTTATATCAGGGGTGTCCAAACTTGGGAACTTTAAAACTTGAGGACTTCAACTCCCAGAATTCCCCAGCCAGTCATGCTGGCTGGGGAATTCTGGGAGTTGAAGTCTCAAGTCTTAAAGTTCCCAAGTTTGGACAATCCTGCTTTAGGGAATAGAAAGCTTGACGGCTGGCCTTGGCTTCTAGAAGGCGCCCTCACCCACTTCCCAGCGACTGGCTGGAGGCGCGTGCGTGGACTACGGTCTCGTCCCTCCCCACCTCAGCCTTTCGAGTTCTGCCTTCGAGTTCTGCGACTTCTGGGCGCTGTCGGTCGCCGTACGCGGCGCCTGTTCCGGCGTGCTCTTGGATGACGTGGCGGGGACGGCGGAAGCGGCGGCTCCTTTCCTCGGTGGCGGCGGCGGCGACGACAACGGGATGGTGCTGGCCGGGTTCCTGTGGTGCGTGGCGGCCTTGCTGGTGTTGCAGGGCCGGGCTGACGAGCATGACCACACGGTGAGAGGGCGGCGCCGCCGAGGCCCCGGGGACATATGGGCCTGTTCTTCCCACCCCCCTCGCTCCCCCTCCGGCGGTGGCTCGCTTCCCCGGCTGCGGGCGCGCCTTTGCGCGGCGTTGCAGAGGCCAGAGCCAGCACGGATCGATCCCATCGGTCTGCGCGGGACGGGGTCAGCGGGCGTGGGAGGAGAAGCTCTTCCGCAGATCCTTGAGAGCCGTGAGGGAAAAGGGGATCCCTCTCCGCTGGAGGTGGCGGGGAGGTGCTGGCGAGCAGCCTGGCCGAATATAGTTCTCCTCTGAAGGGTCTCAGTTCCAGAGAACGAAGCTCGAATCAGCTCTCAAGAACGGCAGCCTTTGTTCAAGCGACCCTCTGGTTTTCACCGTTCTTATCTGCGGATGGTGACACCAGGTTGTTAGAAAACAGAATCGCACCTATTCATGATAAAGAATCACTTTGCTTACAAAAAAAAAAGGAAATCGGAATTAATCTTTCCCCAAAGCAGGCAGAAAAGTTATAAAGCCGCTAACGTTACAATTCATAATAAATCCCAATAGTTAATTCTGAGAGACAGCAACATTGGCTCAAGCTGTTTTAGCTTCTGTCCTATCAAAAAAAAAAGGTATTTCTTTTATCTCTAATCGAACCAGGTGAAATCTGATACTTAAAACAGTGGTCCCTGGATGTGTTTCTATAGCTTTGGACATTGACTGGTTATATTTAATGAAGATACAGTTTGCTTATGCATTACAAGAACCCAACGATGACATCTTATTCAGTTGATCAGGATAATTTGTAAGGAAATGACATGACTGATTTGCTTTCTTTGTGCAGAGTATACAACCTGTATAGTCAGATTGCTGTATGGGCTATAGTTGTAATATACTGTAGCTGATGGATAAGATCCAAAAACAGCAAAGGGCCAAGTCCCACAGCAAGTGGGAAATAAAGATGGAAGGTTGGGAAAAAAAAGCAAAGCGTACATCTTATTTAAAATCTCAAGAAATTGCAGTATTTCATCTGGGATTTCTCTGTTTGCCTCTTATTTTTCTAAAGCCTTCCATACAAGCTGTTCTTAGACAAATTAAAATAGAAACCACTTAAAAGAAAATACAAGTAATATAGAGTGTGAAATCCAAGCACTTTAAAACCAAATAATATAGTTGGTATAGACCAAACATAATAGAAAAATAGCTTTTAAAAGTAGCATTGCAAACTTGTATAATGGATAATAGTGATGAATAGTACTGATTCCAAGCATAATGTGATCAAGTTTAGTGTCACTTCAGAAAACACTCTGTCCTTAAATTATTGATGGGTTCAAACATAAAGCTAAGCCATCAACCAGTGTTAAGGCTTTACTTTTTTAAAAGGAGGGAAATGGTGTTGGGCAATGGATATTGGAAGTATTAAGGTATAAATGGATGAAATTTTAAAGCCTTATTTTTGAAATCGAGTCTCTGCTTTAGACATAATAAACATTATCTGAAAACGTATCCCTCAGTTTTCTGCTGGCAAACTATGAAAATCTATATCAATGATTGCCCAAATATTTTTAGTGGTGCAATCCAAGGATGCTCCAGAAGGCAGCAGAAAAAAGGGGATTCAAGAAATTGCATGAAGCATTACTCACTTCTGCCAACAATGCTTTACATCGTGGATAGGTTTGTATTATGACTTAGTTATACTAAGTCATATTTATAAAATAAATAAATAATAAACAAACAAACTTGCCCTTGTAATGATGCTCAAAAGTCATCCAGTGCTAACACTAAGACAGTGAGTATGTAGTATAATCTTTTAATGGCTATTCCCTTGAAAGTTAGTGATTATAATATTTCTGCGCTACACACCAAATATTAATAAAAGACTTTGAGAAACTGTCATACATATAAAGGCAGAAAAGAAAGGAACATGAAAACCAGAATATTGGGCAAATAATGTGTAGAACATTCTTAGGCACATTGGACTTACAATTGCACCTATAAGGTGTCCTTGAGAAGAGATTCAGGTAATTGGAGAAGGAAAGAGACATATGATAAAGAGTAACCTAGGCAAATGTATACACATGTATGCACAACTTAGCAGAAAATAAATGGTACTTAGTTTCTAAAGATAAAAAAGGAGTTTCTTGAAAAAGGTAATAAACCCGGTTGAGGAATTAGCAGTATCAAACTATGAATTAAAAGTTGTAATAAAAGTGCAAAAACTATGAGGGGAATTAGGGGGTTGGCTGAAAAGAGAATATTACCCTCCAATATTGTACAAGGAAAAACAACATGCCTTGCAGCATGTGTGAAGCAAGGGAGAATGTAGGAAATTCAGGATTACTGTACCAGGATGTCTGATGATGTGGTTGATACGATAGAGGGCAGTCTTAGAATGCTTAGAGACTGAAAATGTCAAAGTGAAAGCATCCAGGTGTTGAGATAGAGAAATGTCAAGCAAGTAACAGAGATACATGGAAGTAGTATATAAAAACCAAGGGATTGAATGCAAGGGCATTGTGCAAGCAGGAAGAAAAGGATAAAGCTGTTACAACAAATGATCAAAACATTGGAACGATGGGAGACAGAGTGGATATAAATAAATGATTTTTAAATTTTAAATTGTATTTTTAAAATTTAAATCAGATTTTTAATTTTTTTCATCAAATTTATTTTAATAAAATGCTTTTTAAATAAAACATTTAAATTTTTTATTTAAGATACATTAATAATTTAGTTTATTCAGCATGAAATGGAACTGAGTTATGTAGAATGAGGCTGTATATTCTGCAATATTGGGACACTTGGTGAATCGGCGGGTCAGAGGAAGAGCTACTGCAGGACAGATAACAGTTGCTCTTTAAAAATTATGATTTAAATTGAGTTGTATTAAATCAAGCCTTTTTACTAGTGATGTAAATAATGATTTAAATAGTGATATAAATCGACTTGATTTAAATCAAATCCATCCTGATGGGAGATCATTGCAATATTGAGAAAATAAGTTTGAGAAAAGAAGTAGCTGTCCATAGAAATTACATGAAAACTTGTGCAGATAGAGTTGGTTGTAAAATCTTCTGCATGAAAATGTGTACAGGAAGTTCTCAACTTGCTACCATTTGTTCAGCACCTGTTCAAAGTTACAATGGCATTGAGAAAAGTGGCTTTCAGCTGCTCCCCACGGCCATCACAGCATCTCCATAGTCATGTGATCAAAATTCAGGTGCTTGGCAACCCGCATATATTTATGATGGTCGCAGTGTCCCTGAGTCATAGTACCTCTAGTACTACATGCTATGTATGTACATGTATGTACTAGCAGCAGACCTTTGTCGAGGCTTAAAATGACTCTGATGATCCAGCATGTGAAATTGAAAGTTTTTGTAATGACTGATGTCTCAACTAACATTACTGAAATGCTATAAAGTTTGGGCCATTTTGTAAAAAAGTAGGCACAGGTATATATTTGAGGCATAGTATTAAAAGTCCAATTTGTGTTTTCTATTTCTAGAAATCCAAAACACATCAAAAAATTGGAATTCTGGATTCAGTTTCCATGTTTTCTGCTCAGTAAAACATATCACTTTTTTTTCAGTAACATATAATGAAAATGCTATCCTGTACTATACTTAACAGTTTCAGATCTAACTAAACAAGACAACAAATTAATGTTATAAAATGGCCCATAGCAATAATTATAAGCTGTTAAATTATAAACTGTTAATATTCTGTTTTTGTTTTGGGGATTATATCTTGGCTATGTGAATAGTTTCCCAGGCCATTCTAAAATAGCCACTATTTTATTTTAATAATATTAAATCACTTGGCTAGAACCCAGGAAACTATAAGCTCTAGTCCCAAATTAGACACAAAGCCAGATGGGTAGCCCTGGGCTAGTCATTTTCTCTCATCCCTAGGAAAGTGGCAATGGCAAACCACTTCTGAAAAAAAATTATCAAGAAAACTGGGATTAGTCCAGGCAGTCACTAGAAGTCAAAAACTGACTTGAAGTCAATGAATGCATGAAGGGTTCAAAATCAATATAGATTTTTCCATCTCAGAATATGAGAAATTATGAACAGTTTTCATCAAAACTTGTCCAAGTGACTTTAGTGCCTACAAAAAGAAGCTTCAGAAGGCTGCATGTAGCCCTGCCATTTACATTGAATATTATACGTGGCTGCAAGCTATATGCTATTGTTAAAATAATAGCATTGGAAATAGTTCTACACTTCAATTTGTCAAAAAGTGGAAAGAAGATTTGGTTTTTTTTCCAAGTTGCCAGCTTTGAATTTGGGAATTGCTGTTCCAGGGCATCAGGATTTCTGGGTTCACCATTACCTGGTAACAGTTTGACTGGATACAGTACACACATCTTGCTAACCCTCTTGTGTGATTTTCTTCATTTTAGCTTAATAGAATGTTATATGTGATTCTAGACATTGTGCTTTATAAATAAAAAGGTAAATTAAGCTTAGTTCTTGATCACGTCCACAAAATTTTCTCTTCAGCAATAGAAAAACTGGCATTATTTTCTTCTGAGCTAATTATTCAGCTTTCCTGTCTTAGTCTATATAGCACTGAGATTTCCTGGTTATTTCTCGTATTAGTACTAATCAAATCCAGGCCTATGTAATTTTTTAAGAATAGCCAAGATCAGCTGGATGCTGCCATCTAGCTGGATGCTTTGTGGATACATTGTGCAAACACAAGCTAATTTTAGTCCTGGCCAACTACTGGTAATTATGCAACAAGTAGAAATTGAATACAAGAAAAAGTTATGTGTCATTCATGAAGTCACTCTCTAATTTTTTAATGTATTACTTTCGACTGCTAAAGCTAGAATGGTAGTATGGGACATATATAGAACTTAAATTTTAAGGCGTCTGTTAAACCTAAATAGAGAGAGATATACAGATAGATCTTCTTACCAACTACCTCGTGCAACAACCACTCAAAGTTAAGACAGTCATGAAAAAATAACACCTTGATCAAGGTGCTCATGCATGACCATC